GGGTTGTCCAGACGATAAACATTCCGAGTGCAGTTGACATCACAAGGTCACATGATTCCATTTGCCAGCTAGTTTGACCCCTCAGAAAGACTGATGGAATCTATTATTACAAGCAAGATTAAAAATTTGAAAGATTTTTTTTTTTTTTGCCCTGTCACTCCTCGGTGGCCTGCCCTGAGTGAGAATACCCAGAGAGAAGGAACAGTGTAGTAGAGAGATGATGGTGACACTGTCTGTCCTCTTTTTGTTTTTCTGTGTTGACACTGCTGTACCTTTCCCTCCAGTTCTGGAAACCTCTGTCCTCTCTGACCACCTTTCTTTTTTACCTGCCTGACCTCTGCCATGGAATATTTTTGTCATTTTATTTTAGTTTCTGTTTTGGGGGTTGAGGTATATTTTTACATTTTCTTTGGAAATAATTTCAAGTGTATGAAGGTCACAAAAATCAAATCAAGGCCGGGCGCTGTGGCTCACGCCTGTAATCCTAGCTCTTGGGAGGCCGAGGTGGGCGGATTGCTCAAGGTCAGGAGTTCAAAACCAGCCTGAGCAAGAGCGAGACCCCGTCTCTACTATAAATAGAAAGAAATTAATTGGCCAACTGATATATATATAAAAAATTAGCCGGGCATGGTGGCACATGCCTGTAGTCCCAGCTACCCGGGAGGCTGAGGCAGAAGGATCACTCGAGCCCAGGAGTTTGAGGTTGCTGTGAGCTAGGCTGACGCCACGGCACTCACTCTAGCCTGGGCAACAAAGCGAGACTCTGTCTCAAAAAAAAAAAAAAAAAAAAAAAAATCAAATCAATACCAAGAACATCCACATACCTGTATCCAGGTTTTCCTATTAATCTTTTACCCCATTCCTTCATCAATTCCTTCTTTCCTTCCCTCCCTTCCCCCACCTCCATGTATGTGTGTGCACAGTTAATTTTTCTCTGAACTATTTGAAGGTAAGTTACAATATTATATCCTTTTACAGCTAAATACTTCAGTATGCATTTCCTAAGAATAGGGACCAGATACTCTTTTTGGTGGTTGGTGCTTTTTTTTCAGCAAGTGGCTGAAATGCAAAGGAGTGGCTCACTCCATACCACTTTGCTCGTCGTGAATCGGTGTGCCGGGGAGACTCTGGCCTCCAGAAAGGCAGCGTTGCCTCTTCTCTCTGCTTTGCTTTTGTCATGTAACGCCGTTGTGCACTAACTAGTGGGATGTGTGGAATAAGGGCGACACTTTGAGGATAAGCCGAAGGTTCCCCTTTTTAGATCGTCACCGCATGTCAACTAGAAACAGAACTTTAGATCTAAACAGCGAGTGCATTTATGCTACGTGGGGGGATGAGGGCCACTCCAGAAATAACGACGAGCTCCGTTTGCTGGAGCGCTGGGGAGCAGGGTGCGAATCTCGTCTGCACGGGGAGCCTGGAGTCGTCCTTCACTGCCTGTCTTTACTCGAGATACTTAAACAACGGAAGGGCAGTGGGAAAACGTGATTTCTGTTGTTCCTCCCTCGTGGCCTGGTTCGGAATGTTAGAATGTGTTGGGATATAAATTGAGCCGCGTGCTTGGGTAACTTCGAAGGTGTTGGCAGTTTCAGTGGGGCCACCCTGCTGTGGAGACAGATGGTGGGGTCTGGGGTTCAGCGTGCGTGACTTCTGACTGCCCCGCTGCCGCTGGCTACCTGTGTCATGTTGGGAAAACCTCTCTGCCACTTCGTTTCTCCATGTTGTAAATTCAGACTCTGAGTTGGAGTGGATGAACATCTCCTTGGCTTAAAATCTAGCGATTGACACGTGCAAAATAGCATCCATGTGAGTGCCGCACACGGGGCCAGAGGACTTAGAATTTCATTTTGTGTTGGACCATCACATTTCTCCCACTGCCAGCTAGGAACTTCTGATATGCTTAAAGAGGGTTCAAAATATTAGGGGGGAAATATGGGAGGCTGAAGCTCTCAGTGCCTGTTTGTAGAGTTTTTAAGATATGACCCTGTTTTGGTTTAGTTAATGAAAAGTGGATGGGAGCCCGGACATTCCAGGGTTTGTAATGACCCTAGTTGCAGGGCCTCTGTCTTGCATGCTCTATATCCTCCCTGGATTATGTTGTTGCTGGTGGCCCAGGCAGGAGGTGACAGTCTCAAAGTGAGTGGTCACTGCGTAAATTATGTCTTTCTCTCGTTTGTTTCCCACCTGCTTTCTGAGCCCCTTTCTCGGACAGGTAAGATGCCTTCTTTCTTGTGGGTGACTTACGTCCCTAGGTGTCCTCCTCTGCTCGCGTGTGTGCATGTTGGGGGGTGCTGTTGGGAGGGCCACCCAGCTGGGGTCCAGTCATCTTTCCTCTCCTCCATCGCCATTATTTTCTAAACCACCAAGCCTCTAGTCCTGAGGCAGAAAGGACAGAGTGTGGAGGTCATTAGAGCCATCGGTAAGAAAGGGGCTCACTGCACGTCCCTCGGACTCGGGGATGAAGGCAGCCCCAGGCAGAGACCCACTTTGATGAGAAGGACAGTTTCTCCCGGCCTGACCTCAAAAGGCCCTGCAGAACCCTTCTATAGAGGGATATTTTTGAGTCACTTTTGTAAATGGAATAAGATTTATGAGCAGTTTCTCTACAATGTCAGCCCCATCATGTAGTCTTTTTATTTTTTTAAGAATTCATATAAAATCCAAATTCAATTATGCTAACTTATTAAATGCCCACTGTTGTGTAAGATCCAAAGCTAGGCCACTGTAGCAGATGAAAAGCACTTTAAATGCGATGACCCCTTGAGGAGCTTACTGTTTTATTGTAGAGACAGAAAGATTTACACAATTGTAGAGAGAGTGTATGATAGACTAGATTACTTAAGAATTCAGTGTATTTTATAGGCTATCACGTTATGAAGGGTAGAGGGCAAGGAGTACAGGAAATCCAACATGCTGCATAGTGCACAGTTATTATAAAGAGTGTGTTTTTAAAGTAATGATAGGGGCTCGTCATTTACAAATCACCTTGGCAGGTGTGTTTGAAGCTTACGCTTTTAAAAATGAGTGTGTCTGCTCTGAAGACTCGCTTTAGACCAATAAGGAAACCACCACCGTGGGTGCTGGGGGATTTGCCTTCTCCAGGTAGTTTACATGGTTTCATAGTGGCCCGTGTACTTTCTGATTTAGGGGAAGACAGTTAAATGGTTTAGTTTCCGAATCTCTTTTGCTAGTTTGCAGATTACATAGTTAAAGAAAATAAGAAGGATGTGGGACGTGGTAGGCAAATCATGCCAAAGTGGAGAATGTGGCAAGATACACTCTTAGGACAATCATCGGGTTGATGACCGTGCTTATTGCGGGGCAGCTGGGAGCTCTTGCTGGCGTGCTGGGTCTGCATCCGGCCAGCTTGGGCCCTGTGTCCCAGGGATGCTATGCCATGAGTCCCCTGCCATGTCCCCCAGCTCACAGTGGGGCTTTCATCTGCATACGGAGTAGGTGCAGTTACAGAGGTGAAGACTGCGAGCCTCATCCACAGAGAGCGATCTCCGTTTTCCCATGATCTCTGCCTGTCACCCAAAGGCCCTACGAATGTGGCTTCCCTAGGTAGTTGGCCCAGAGCAGGTAGCACTGCTGAAACCACAAGAAAGAGAATAGTCCCTTGGCCCAGGACATAGCACCACAGGGCAGAAAGAACTGCTTTATGCAGAAATTCAACGGAAGAAAATAAGGACTTAGCAAGAACAGGCATTTAGCAGAAGTGTTGACAAGGAAAGGAGCCTAGTAACCAAAGACTGACACGACATCTGGGGTAGTTTGGTATAGACAGAAACCTCGGGCCTGTTTCTATGGCCCCAGAGTGGGTCTGGCTGCCTGATTACTAAGCTGGATTTCCAGGTAGGGAGACGGTGCCCAGGTGAGAGTATGTGAACAGCATGGCTCAGGGCCTGGAGCTCCAGCCTTTTCAACAATAAACCTTGGGGCTACCATCTTGGCTTCCACAACTCTCCATCTGCAGAATGGGTTTTGGCTGTTCAAGGTATTTATTGAGCACCTCCTATGTACCAGACCTAGGCTAGGTACTGAAGATACAAAGATGAAGCATGGCCTCTGTCTTGGAAATCTTTGCAATCCAATGGGTCTTACCCAGCTCTTTGAGTTAATTATTCAAGCCCAAGAAGATCCCTGAGAGAAAGACCAGGTACCAGGCATATAGTGAGGCAGCTGTTCCACGATCCATGGCAGGGCAAAGTAGTTGAAAGAACCCTGAGTTTTGAGTTAAAAGACCTGAGTTCCATCTCCACCTCCACCAGTCATTAGTGGTGTGACCTCAGGCATGGCAGTTCATTATGCTGAGTCCCCTCCTCCATCTGTAAGTAGGTACCTTACCATGCCCCACATGGTGTTTGTCAAGATCTTCATGCTTCGCTGGGACCGAGTACCTTCGTAGGAACTGGTTCTGAACCATCACTCAGCGTCTCTGCACGTGAGCTGGCCACTCGCCCAAGTTCCACCTCGGTACACACGAGGAACTGTTGGCCCGTTTTCCATGGGGGAAATGAGCTTTCTGTGGGGCACTACGACACCAAGCCGCATGCTTGCCATCCCTCCACCAGCTTCTGTCCCGCTGCCTGAGTCAGAGCTCAGCATGTGCTCACAGCAGTGTAAAAAATGTCATGTTTCATTGCTTCATCTTCATTTTTCCTTTACTTCCACGGGCCTGGTGACTCCAGGGTACAGGGGTCACGCCATGGGTCAAGGGGCAGGTATAAAGAAATAAGTTTGCTTTTTTACAGCATGGGTTAAAAATCACTCGTAAACTTGGGTGGGACAGAACTAGAATTTCTGGTTCTGTATCCCATCCAAAAAAAACTGTAATGGAAAGTTCAAGAGTATCTTTGCTGGCTCTCTTTCTTGAATATTTCCAAAGCCTTATGAAATTAGGAGTTTTGGGTACAGTGTAAGGAAAAGAAAAGCCGGAGGATGTGGTCAGAGGTCCTGCTCCCCTCTCATCCATTTCTCTGTCTTCCCTCTGTCCGTAGTTGACCACAGCATGTTCGAGAACGTGAACGCAGCCCTCACTCCGAAGCTCCAGGCCAGCCGCTCCTTCCCCCACTTGTCCAGGGCTGCGGCCCCCGGCCCTGCCACCCTGGGCTCCGTGGAGCCTGGTGGGCCGGGACTCTGGGCGGGGAGCAGCCAGCACCTCAAGAACTTGGGCAAAGCCATGGGGGCCAGAGTTAACGACTTCCTGCGGAGAAAGGAGCCCTCGAGCCTGGGCAGCGTGGGTGTGACGGAGATCAACAAGACCGCAGGGGCCCAGCTGGCCAGTGGGGTGGACGTGGCCTCAGGGGGGGCCTGGCCGGAGGACGAGAGGTGAGTCCCCCTTCCCCCAACATCCCTGCAGCTCTTTGGACCCCCTGGAATAGGTACAGGGACAAACCGCAGTGTCTCCAGGGGACAGCAGCCCTGAGGAAGGGATGAGAGATTGTCCTGTGGAGAAGAGCTCATGGGTGGGACCACGTTCATGGGTGCCGGCTTCACCTCCCCACCCCCGAGACCATGGCTGAGGTTTATCGAGCACCCCACGAGGTCCTTAGCACAGCGCTACATACTTTAGTTGCATCGTATTATCTAACCCTCATGGGAGCCCTGGGAGGCAGATTATATTTCAATTTTACAGATAAGTCAAGTTCAAAGAGGTAAAGTGAGTCGCTTAAGGTCACAAAGTCAGTACCTGGCATGGCTGGGTTCGAACCCACGTATTGCCCAGAAGCTCCCCAGGTGGATTCTGATGCCCGGCCAGAGCTGAGAACCTCCGCCCTGGGCTGTCGGCTGTGGAGAAGCCTGCACTGCCAGAGCCCACCAGAGACAGGGTGGGAGAAGCCACCCATGGCAGCCTCCTACTCTTCCACTTTGTGCCAACGGGTCCTTTCCTGGCTTTGTTTTAAACGCCCGTGTGTCCGAGGTGACGACGTCCTTTACAGGGCTTATTGCGTGGGTGCTGACATGACACGCTTCCCCAGGGGTCTTTGTCCTGTCTCCGGAGGCAACACTGTGTGCTGCTCTGAACACTGAGTGTGGATGGAACAGTCTAAAAGCCAGTTGTGGTGCTCAAGTTGCTAACTAAGACCCACCTGCTAAACCAAGAACGAGAACCTAGGGGGTAAAGCGCACCTTGGGTGGGTGGGTTGCAAGTGGAGCTGGAGTTAGAGGAGCAAGGATGCGGCATGGACAGGTACATCACCGTCCTTAAAGCACACGTTTATTGTTATCAACCTTCCAGGTCAGTCCTGCAAGAAGCGTTCCCTCGGCTGGATCCTCCACCTCCCATAACTAGAAAGCGAACCCCTCGGGCCCTGAAGACCACGCAGGACATGCTGATTTCATCACAGCCTGTCCTAAGCAGTCTGGACTGTGGGACAGAGCTGTCACCTGGGCAGCCGCAGGACTGCCCTCCCACTGCCCAACCTGTCCCAGCAGACGCTGCGCAGCCAGAGGCCACCATGGAGATGGGGGAGAGGCGTGAGGCTCTGCCCAATGGAGAGGTGTCCTTGTCAGTGCCTGACCTCATCCACAAGGACAGCCAGGATGAAGCCAAGCTGAAGATGACTGAGCACAGAAGGGCCTCCTCCCCCGGCCTCATCGAGAGGAATGGCCTCAAACTCAGCTTGAGCCCCGTCAACCTGGCCGAGTCCTGGGAGGACGGCCGCCCCCCTTCCCAGGCACGGACCTCCAGCCCCGACAATGAGGGCCCTCACCCAGACCTGCTGTCCTTTGAGTAGCGCTCTCCTCTTCCCTGCCGAGCTCCGCCCCTCTCCTCCTCCGCCTTCTCCTCCCCTGTGCACGTGGCCCTCACCCAGGGCCGCCATGCCCTTTGTCTTCCTTGAGGCACCAGCAGAGAGAGCCAGTCCTCCCGCGTGGGGTTTTGCAGGGCTGGAAGTGCACGAGTAGTCCTGTCCAGAGAGTCTGTCTGCAGAATGGCAAAGGACTCAGTGCCAACCCTGAGCCTGATTTTCTGTCGGCTTTTCTCAGCGTTGGCTGTGGCCCTTGGACATTGGAGCACTTCTACTCCTGAGCTTGTCCTGGCTTCCCCCTGGCTGGCAGGGCCACCAGCCCAGGGTGATGGGGCTTGCGGGAATCCTCTGTGCTTGTCTCCCATATGCTGGCTACTCCCCTACTCCTCCCCCCACCACCCTCCACGCCCGCCCGGATTCCTTCCCTGCCTGCCTTGATGGGCCCAGAGGCCCCTGCCCCAGGGGGAATAGGCTGGATGAGGAATGATGGGTTTGGTTTGATGATGGACCGTGGCCCGGAGAGCCGCACACCCTGACCGCAGCCCGGCCACAGCTCCTCCTGGTCCCAAGACAGCTCTGGCCCCTGGTCACCGTCTTTCCTCTGCCCTGGAGTGGGCGCCCAACAGGATGCTTCCCAGGCCAGACCTTGAGAGTTCACCCTGACGCTCAGGGTTCCCGAGGTTTCCCCCCATCTGGTAGATGTAGGATACAAAATGAAATCCCTCTGCCTGCCTGGGAGTGGCACCTGGGGAAACGAGGTGACCGGCTGCGCCTGGGCTCCCCGATAGAAGGAAAGATCAGGCTCGAGCGGGCTCCGCAGAGGCAGCAGGGCATGTTCTGATCCTGTTTCGTGGGGAGGCCCAGGAACTTGAGGGTGGTGTCGACATTCAGGCATGGTTCCCAGAAAACCCAGAGCAGAGCAGTGGAGAAGGGTGTGAAGACAGGACAGAGAAGAGCAGTCACTGGGGATTGGAGCAGCTTTTTAGGGGCCACCCTGCAGCCAGAGCGGTGCAGTTCCAGGGCCTGGGTGCGGTAAGTGTGCAAGCCGAGCGACGACGCAGGCGAGAGGCTGGAATGTGGTGAGAGCTGTGGAGGTTGTGTAGTTTTAATGAAGCGAAAGTGCTCTGTGCTTGTGCTGGGGTCGCCTGGGCCTCCTGCAGCCCCGGGGCTCCCTGGAGCAGGCTGTGCAGCAGTCCGGTTCCTGCGGCCTCCCCTTTTCGGTTCATTGTTTGGCTTCCCGCCCATGAACTCTGAGACATCCAGGGCTCACTTCCCAGTTCGTCTCATCCACCAGGCCCCCGCCTCCCTCCCCACTACCTCTGCCGTAAAGACGTCCACGCTGACTCCTAAGAACTGGGCGCCTCAGTGGTCCCCTAGGATGTGGCGCCTCCTGCATTCTGGCTTCTGCAGCTGTGCAGCCTCGCCACAGCCCTCCCATGCCCTGCCCTCTGCCCTGTAAGTGAGGCTTCACCACAAAGCGGAGTCTCCCCTCCCTCCCCCCTGCAGGCCCTGCTGGAGTGGGCAGGGCTGTTATTACACATAGATCCCGCCTTACTCCCAGGATCTGGCATCTGACCCTGATGTCAGAGAGTTGTTCTTGAGACTAGCATTTGGGGTCCTGCGAGTTTTCCCAGAATGGTTGGGATATCACACAAAACACACAGAGCTGGGCATGAGGGTAGAGGCTCCAAACACACATCCTGGGAGCAAGCCCAGTTTCAAGTGAGCTTTCCATGCCAGAAGCAAGGTTTGTTCTTCAGACAGGAAGCTTAGCAGGCACCTGTGGGGTGGGGCTGCTGCTCCCCCAGAGACCAGAGTGGCTCTGGCCAGGTGACATGGTAGCTACAGGTACAGATGTTGCAGGTCCAGGCTGGCTTGAGTACCTTGTCTCCCCTCTACAGCCAGACCTGGGATAAGCAAAGGGATCCCAGCAGGTAGTCAGTCCCAGGACCATTGCCAGTGAGCCCAGAGTTCTTCAGACTCGTGTCTGATGCTGAGTAAGGCGCCATGGGACCCGCTCCAATTGCTAGTTGCATACAACTCAGCCATCCTGCTGCAGGGGCTGATGCTGCTACCTCCGGAGGCTGAGTCTGACGTCTGGTCTCAGATGCTGCAGAAATTGCCCGGTGCTCGGGGCTAAGTGCTCCTCAAAGCCCAGCAGGAACAGCTACTACTACTCCTGCTGAGGGCCTTGGCTCAGAACAACAACTCCATTGAAAGCCCACCTGGTTTCCATGTCCATCTCAACAGCTAACCTTCCCGGGGTTGCAGCATGGCAGCCCCTCGCCCAATCCCTCCTGGTGAGTCCAGCTTCTCTGGGCACTTGACCTCCACGTAGCCCAGTCCCTGAGAGGACAGGCTAACAAGGAGCGAAGGACTTATCTTCTGTGTCCACTGAAGGAAGTTGGGACCACAGGGTCTTTTGTGTCTCCGTTAATCCCCAACCTCACCGTAACCCTCCCTTCAGCACACAGTTTTATCCTTATAGATTACACGGTGAGCTTCCAGAACCCGGCAGGAGGAGGGTGTATCCCCTCACATGCAAGGAAACGTATCTGTGGATGTTGTGCATGTGGTATGGAAGACACACATGTATGTAGCCCTTCAACCCTTAAAGAACAAGAAAGTTGGCCCTGGTTTGGAGGAGGAGGAAGATTACAGATCTATCTTGAGGATTATCTAGAGAGAGAATATTTATATTTTTAGTAATTTTCTGGTAGAAGGAAATTGCACAATAAAATGGTTTGATTTTCTGGTGTGGTTTTCTTCCCTTCTGACTGATGGGCGGTCTTGGTCTCCTCGAGGCAGTTGTCCGGTGGAGGGCATCGTTGGCTTTTGCTTTGTGAGCCAGGAAATGTGAGAATAGAGGGAGGTGGAAATGTGAGAATAGAGGGAGGTAGAAATGTGGGGGCGATGGCACTACTGGAACCTTCACCCTAAGACCTTTGGAGGGGGGTGGGATACGCTTTCTCAGGATGTGGCATCCATCGCTCACTCCCCTGAGTGGCCACCCTGAGAGTGTCCCTCTGCCAGCCTGACCTGTCGCTGTTTCAGGGGCATCGACATGCCATGCATAGGTAAGACCCTCAGGAGAAAGTTGGGGGGACTGTGAATGACCGTCAGATCACCCTGTGGGCCACTGATTCTTAACCTGCAGCCCTCTCCCACCAGGAAAGGGGTGGAGCTTTGTGTTCGCGTGTGTACATTCGTCCACAGAGGGGCCAAAGCTGTCAGATTCTCAAAGTGAGTTGTCATCAATCAATGTCAGCAAAATACTCAGAGCTGCTGACCAGGGCACCTCCCAGGGCTGGGACAGCCTTGGTGCTCACATACTGAGAGGGTATAGCCTAGAGCCCCCTTGTCCTGTCGCTGCCCCCAGGCTAGTGTCAGATCAGGGACCCAGAGGACTCTCAACAGAGTGAGGATCAGCCAGGCCTTTAACCTCCTTAAAAGGAAGAAAGTGGAGAAGAAACAGGAAGGGCAAAGGGGCGTTTGGTCTCTTCCCAGAAGACTCACACTTTTCCACAGGGGGAAAGGTGGGCCTTTCTGCCCGGCCCTCTCGTCTGCAGCCCTGGCTGTGCCATGGGTTGGATTCCACAGCCCCACGCCAGAAGCGTCCCAGGCATGAGGCAAAGTCCCCAGCCTTTTCTGCACCTAACTCCACTCCCACACTTCGTTTCTCAGAGGAGGTGTTAGAAGAAGACTGTGGAAGGCGGCTGACTTTTTCTGCAAGAGGGGTGCAGCATTATCATTCAGGAAAGGCAGGAGAAATGAACCAATCCAACATATTCTGTGCACGGGAAAAGATTTTAAAAATACAGTAGCTACCTTTAAGTGTAAGTAAGCTCCAGTGACTATTCTTCAGGCCACCTCCCATTAGATGGCTTCAGGGTCTGCTTCTGCAGTTCAGGTGTGAAATGTGCCTTGAACATGCCTTTCTTTCCCACTGTCATCGTGCAAAGTAGTTATTTTTGCCTACGATCGAGTACGAAAAATTCTAGTGTAAAAATAAAAATTTGAGGGGAAATTTTTAAGCGTAAAATGGGTATGCATATGTCATGTTTTTAAATGCTGTGAGCTGGAGGGCAAAGATGTGTTTATTCAGACACCGCATCCGATCCCCTACCCGCCGTGAGCTAAGTGCTGTGCTGGAGCACCGTGGTAACTGGTGGGAAAGTGATGCCCGGTTCCCTGTCCATTCTCAGCGACTGAGGACGCCGTCACGCCTGCCCTCCCCGGCGTCACGCCGCAGGGTGTGTTATCGGGACATGGAAGTGTCGCAGAAGCACCAAAGGGAGGGAGGCAGTTAATTTCAGCTGAACGTGTTTGTTTCCTCTGGACTAAATCTGCCCTCAGTACTTGCTGAAGGAAAGTGGCAGCCAGCGGCCATCAGGAAGCCGCTTCACTCCTGAAGCCTGTGCCTGTGAGGACCCCACGTGGTCTTCAGAGTTTACGGAACTAGCTAATCCGGGAGTGTGCTTCAGAGGCTGCCCCAGGCTCAGAGAATTTCTTCTCGATAAGCTTAATCCGCTCTCAGATTTTGGAATCCCTTTGAGGTCAGTGAATCGGGAGAGTGTTCTAGAACTCTCCGTGCTTGGACTCCAAGTCCTCTCTCCGCTTCCGTCCCCATGCCTCGGAGTTTCCCAGGCCAGCCTCGCTGTGGTGGCTCCTCTCTGAGATGCTGGCCCTCAGGGTCAGGGAGGCTTCACTCAGCAGTGCTCCTCACAGGGCCATGGCGGGTGGGGGACGTCCCATGTGGAGCCTGTCACTCTGGCTCCCCTGTGAGTGGGAAGAAGCAACCACATCCACAGAGCCCGGCCATGGACTCCCTACCTCCCCCAGAAAGCTTTGTGAGTGCAGATGGCATTTGATGTCCTTCATCTCCCCCAAGGAAATGCAGTCTGGAAACTACGTTGTCCGGGGATGGCATCTCCAGGCGCTCGGCCCCTCCCTGCAGCCGTTGGCACTGGGGACACACGATGAAAGCCCAGAGTCCCCACCACTGACTTCCCACTAATGAGAAAATTCCTCTGCTTTCCGTATCCAGGGACCAGCTCTCCTGAGACACAGACCCTTTGTGTCCGGCTTATCTCCAGCTGCTGCCATGATAAACAGTCAGGAGCCCGGGGAAGCGCTACCCTGTGGAACGAGCCACTCGGTTCCGAACAGCACAGACAGGGAAGCCAGCTTGAGGGAGTGTTTAAGAACCCGCCACAAATACCAGGCTATGTTCTCTCTCGTGGGAGTTGCCTGAGGAATCTTGGTTAGATAGAGCAGGAAATGTGCCCAGTATTTTTTTTCTTGGGAATAGACCAAAGCCAAAACACAAGACCCCAAAACAAAAGCAACTTCCCAACAAACTGCAACTTTTCTTTTTTTTTTTTACCGTGTTTAACCCCCCAGCTGTTCCCAGTGCCACCTACTCAGCTACCTTCTTCCTTAAAGCGTCCCTCCATGTTTGCCACCTTCTCCTTTGTAGGCTCGTGTCACTCCTGAGTGTTCAGCCGCTTCAGGGGCAACTCACAGCAACTTAACAGCTCTCCGCGGTTACCCCGGGAGTGCTTTGGGCTGGTCCAGGCTGTCATGAGGCCACTGAAGGGGGCAGCCTGGCCTTCTAAGACGGAGGGAAGTGAACTCTGCCAGCCCCCTGTGTAGGGCTTGCAGCTTCAGCAAAATGCATGAGACCCCTCCTTATCCTGAGCCCACAGGGGGCTGGACAAGGAAAGCTCAGGACGAGTGTGGACTGCCCTGTGGCATTACCTCCCTGGTAAATTCCGTTTGCCAACCCTCCTTGCTCAACCTGAATCCTGGGTCTTGTGTGTCAAGTACTGTCAGAGGGTCTTGCAGCAGACCTGGCCAAGGTGTGACATGTCTAGGGGCTAGTCTTCTGGAGAAGCCGGATAGGCCATCTGGGAAGTGATTGTACATGTAATAAAGCCACATGGGGAGGCCCTGCCCCATGCCTCTCCCCACCCCCTTAATCATTAGAGACTACGTAGGTGGCACACACCATGACCAGGCTGGGAAGCTTGCTGTGACACACATCGTAGAGGTGTCAGGTGGGAGCTCTGTGCCCTAGATTGCCCACAGTCAGCTGGCCCCAGCCTGCTTCTCTGCCATAGTACCCGAGGAGCCCCAACCAGCTCGGAATCACTTCCCTGCCTTTGTTCCAGGTAGTCCATCTGTCCGGGTCACGCTTTTACCTTCCTTTCTCTTTCCTCTGACTGTGCCAGGCTATATTAATTCACCCTTCAATTTTCAGCTCAGGCTCCCCTTCCTCCAGGATTGCTTCCCTGCCACCACCCCAACCCCTCCCCTGCTCCCCCATGGCATCCTGTGTGCTCCTCCATCATGGCACTCAACACGCATCGTGGAAGGTGGCTGCCACCTCATGTGTCTCCCACACGAGTCTAGGCTTAGGAGCAGGTACCATGCCGTCTTCATCACTGACTCCTCAGTTCCCAGCACGGTGCCTGGCATATTGCGGGAGCTCAAAGATGTGCTTTGAGTGGAACTGACCTCAAGAATCTTATAGTTCAATTTGCATGGAACAGACTAGACTGAGCTCTCACTGAGGTCTGGGTTAGGCCAGCACTGCCTCCTTCAGCACCCCTTCCCCAGAGAGTCTCTGTACCTGGTCATCGACTGCACAGAGAAGGATTGAGGGTGGCCAGTTTCAAAGTGGAAAATGATTAATGGGCTAGTGTATAGCTCATTTATCTCCAGCCAGAGCTTTCGTTAATTCTTGCTCCCTGGCAAGTGCCACCTTGCCGTGGAGCTGGCAGAAGCAGGCACTAACGTCTAACCTAGTGCAAAAAGGATCACACTTCAGAGCCAGGCACCTGCACTCTGGGAGCTGCTTACGCTGCTCTGAGTTCTAATTCTTAGTATTTTACTTCACTGTTTCAGACTTTGCCATTAATTGGTGATTTACTATGTCTCTGAAGCTTCTCTATACTCCAGGAATTGTGTTAATCAATTTACACACATTATCTCTCTTGTTTTTCTCAATAACCCTGCAAGGGAGGTCTTATTAAGTCTATTTTCCAGATACAGATGTTATTCTACTGTGTTTAAAGAGATTCACACGCATGATCTCCTTAATCCTCCTGTCTTGTGTGGTAGATATTTCAGCCTGATCTTCTAGATGGGGAAACTGAGGTAATGACCAGCAGATTGCCTGAGTGCTACAGGTGATGAAGAGCAGAACTAGACCCGAAGGCCTAGGTCTTCATACCTGAGAAGCGGTCGTCTTCCCCTCCCACCCCCACCTCCTAACACACGGCTCTTCTGTTTCCATCACACCAGCCTGACAAATAATTCCAGGAAATGCTCCTGGCCCAGAAGCATTTTTTTTTGAGTTGGACCTTCTCCAAGAATAAATGTAATTTCATTAAACACTGCATATTCATGTGGGATAAAAATTTAGAGACCCATTCCACAGTCCCCTCATTTTATAAAAGAAGAAACAACAAAGACTGTACTTTTAAAAGTTAACCTTGTGCCAGCATCATCTTGTTAAATCCCCACAATAACCCTATGGGATTGGAGTCAATATCCCCATTGTCTAGATGAGGCTGACCAGGGACTTACGGAGTTTCAGCAATTTACCTATGGTCACTCTACCAGTGAGTGACAGAGCTAACGTCCTGAAAACATTCATTCTTAAGGGTCTTGGTAAGAATCTATCCTGAACTGCAAGAATTTTAGCCTTAGGTAGGAATGGCAAGAGTATTTCTAGTGTGTTTTGAATTTC